CAATAAAATGTTTTAATACTTTATTACTAATCTGAAAGTTGAAACTGGTAAGCACTGGGACGTTGGAAGGGGAATACTATGCGATGAATATTACATACTTTTTCAAGGATAAAACTAATATTTTATCGTATGTCACATATATGTGCCCATGGGTAAAACATCTAACTTGATAGCTTGCATGACATTTCTAAAGCACGATTTTCTCTAAAAAATATATGGTTTTGACGTTAAACAAGAAATGTTTGAAGCTATACTTTTATTATCACTAATTACGAAGCTAAAATGGATATAAAGTTAAATTTATTGTTTAACAACATAGTTCAATAAAACTACAATTCTGTATCTCCCAGGAGTGAGAGAGTTTAGTATGCCTTTGTCAAAAGAGCCTGTTCTTGGCAAATGGAAGATTTTTGCAGCATTTCCTGGTGTTACTACTACTACTACTCATCACCAATTTAAAGTTTCTGAATATGGTAAGTAGAACTGTAACTTTTAAAGAAAAGTGTGTAAGTCCTCTAGAAAATTTATACTTTTAAATAATGGAATAGAGTCAGCAGTAAAATAAAAAATATGCATGCAGTATGTTTTTAGGGACTTGCGCTCATCATGCCTTACAATTTCTAATGCGAAAATAAATTTATATAAATAATTTATTGAACACAGACAACTACAAAAATATAAATATGACACTTTCAATATGTAAATATATAGATAAGTTAAAAAAATTTATATCTTCTGAATTCGAACAATATTCGTGGAAAGTTTTTTATTTTCCCTTTAAATTAACCGGCTGATCAATAAAGGCTTGAATTTGTTATACTCTTACAAGTTCCATACAAATAGCAAATAATATAATGTTCTCGTAAACTGTTTGATATGTTTCCTACCACTTAGTCGATATATACCTTTTTTCAAAATATATACAAATTGAGTAGGTATTCTTCATATGGAAAGTCAGTCAAACGAGACAATGAGGTTCTTTCGCCCTAGTTACTCATTGAACTTAGGTCAATCAACTAGGGTGTCACCTGTACTTTCTTGTCTGATAATTTCCTATGGATACACCTTTCCTTGCTTTGAAGAGAGTGACAGTCTGTCACGTGAGTAGTACCCCGAACCAGAGAAGAATGTCATTCTTCTTACTAGTATATACTGCTATGTTTTCTAATCTGGGGTACACTTTTCTTAAATACAGAATACGATTCAAGATAACTTCTTAAGGTTACAAATCTCTCTTCAGTAAAGACGCCACATTATACGCGTGTATTTTAAATTTAATTGTCTTTTGAATTTTTTTGACTGGGTCTAACTTGTGTCCAGTCTCGACGAGAAATCAGTGAACATTAGAATATCACAGATGAAATAAGACACAGTCTGAGTACAACTGCTTATAAAGTTAAGTCTGTTGAATACTAGTGATAAGTTGGCCTAAATATAAAAACTTGCTGATGATAAGATAGTCAGGTCACTCTGGTTTACTGACATTAGGAGTTTAGCGTTGCTGCCTCTTGTCATTTCATCTCCAGATAAAAGGAAATAATTCACGAGTTTCTGAATTCTAATATACATAACCAAAAAAAGCTAAAATATATACAATATCAAATACTTACTACGTGATTAAAATACATAGGTACATCTAATTTAAGCACATAGCTTGAATTACTTCAAGTACGTTGTTACCTGTGCTCTCTATATAATACCATGAATATTAACCAGTAACGAAGCTTCGAGAGAGAGAGAAAGTAAATTAAATTTTAAAACAGATTTGGAATAGTATTATGAATACTAGTTATTATAGAGCAAATTGGGCGTTTGTTACTAATTTTTGGCTTCCTGCTTGACAAAATTTAACGAAATCAATGATGTTTCTAAATGTAAATTTGCTGAGATGGAGTAAAATTAGTACATTACACTAAACATAGATAATACTAGACTCCATTTCCAATTAATGAAATAACTGCTGTAATATAAGTGTAATCATACTTTATTATTATTATAATACCTTTTTTATACCGTATTCTACTTCTTTCTTGAAGTGTTACCAAAGTTTGAAGTACTCATCTCTTCTCCAAGTTCTGTTCTTCGTGGAGATGAAGAACTTCCGCTGACTATATGTGCTAAGTAAGTTTTACTACCAGAAAATTGAATTTTTACGTCTCATTAATTATTAATGGCTCAAGCATATAGACATCAATTCACTACCTGTGTGTCGTAAACAATGAGATTAACGTTACGTAAAACTATGATTTTATTGTTAAATGCTAATAATAAGGACGTAAAATATTGTTAGTTTAATACATAATTAGAAACAAAATTGCTAATTTCCCAAAAACAAAGGTTATGGTAAATAATTATATATAATACTAAAAACGTCTGATTGAAAAAAATGTTTTGAATAGCTAAGTACGGTTATAATTTCATAGTGTTAAGTACGTACTACACCATTTCTTTCAGATACACTTATGGGCTTCCTGTTCGTGGAAACTTAACGTTCGTAATGTCAATAAACACATTTAGCAAAAGGGAAAATGAATCACCCTTCTTTGTTTACGAGAGAGAGGTATGTATTTTGATGGAAACATTAAGAATATTTTCTTAAAATCCGATTTCTAAATAAACAGAGATGCATATGAGACTTCCCTGTTATGATACACATGTGTAGCTTGAAATATTAGCTGGAGGAAGCTTCGTGTTAAAAGGGTGAGTTTTTATG